GTCCATTAGGGCCAGGCTCCTATTGAGACTAGGATTGGATTGGCTATAAAAGAGAGGCACCCCCATGGGTCTAAGGTATGCTTTTAATACTCAAGCTTGTGAGTTTAGTACTTGATTATCTTTGAGAGATTTACTGACTTGATTGTCGGAGTGCCCCCGGGTGGTCGAAACCACCGCGGGATTCTTATATTTCTGTTACAGGTCAGTCAGGGGCCATCTATTCTGCCAGTGCTCTCCAGCTGGTTACTAAGCGGGCAGTGTGGTCGGAAAATCACCCACACAATAACCTAATCTATGATGATAAGCAGTTTTGATCAAATGCACTTCCATTGCTAAATAGAGTATGCATGGATACTACCAAAGCTGATGACATGGTTTTTTATTTATTTATTTATTTTTAGGTATGAGTATGTAGCAATTCTCCTTGTAAGAAATTATATGAACCCCTACTTGCTGGGGCGACAGGCATGTGACGTTTAGATAGGCCCGACAACACTAAGCTACATAAGAGATCTGTAGATACTCTCTCAAGATGGTTTTAAATTATAATTTGACTTTAATCCCACACTACAAAAAGTAACATATTTGTCGATCAAAAAATTAGTCGTTAAAAGTTCATTTTTAGTTAGCAAAAATTATACACGACCAATTTTTTTGGTCGTCAATTGAGGGTCGGCAAAAGTAATTCGCGACCAAAATTTTGGTTGGTCGGAAAAAGTTGGATTTGCCGACTAAATTTTTGGTCGCTAAATATGTAATTACTACGATTAATCCATTTTGTCGCTAAAACACTTTGGTCGCGAAAAGTGATATTTTCTTGACCGAATATCTTAGTCGCCAATTGTCACATTCCACGACCAAAAAATTTGGTCGCCAATTATCACATTCAACGACTAAAAAGTTTGATTGCCAATTGTGACATTCCACGACCAAAAAAATTTGGTTGCCAATTGCGACATTCTACGACCAAAAATTTTGATCGCCAATTGTCACATTCCACGACCAAACATGTTTGTCGCCAAAAGAAATGTTTGCGCAACTAAAACTTTAGTCGGCAATAGACCTATTCGCGATCAAATCCTTTGGTTGCCAAAATTAATAATTTTAACGACTAATTATTTAGTCGCCAAATGTGCTTGGTGATACACCGACTACTTTATTTAGTCAGCAAAAGTATAACTTATCTTTCCCGACTAATCAATTGGTCGCCAAAACTAGAAAAGCAAAACCAAAATTTGGTCGCCAACATCCAACAAAATAAACCTGTAATTTATAATAATCCATTCAATTTATTCAACATAATCTGTAATTTGCAAAAATCATTCAAACCAACAAATAAATTGAATCATGAACATTCAACAAAATACATATATCAACCATTTCTGAACCTGTTTAATTAAAGTCAGCAACTATTGTAAGTTTTCATCTACAAGTAATTTCAAACTACATATTTCATCTAGCATAAAAATTTAAAATATAACAAGTATTTATTATTATGTTTTAAATTTTTATCCATGTGCATCAACCCAAAAATATAACTAGTAGTCTACCAAATATTTTTCATACACACCCATCCAAAAATATAACAACTAGTGTATCAAAAAATATAACTACTAGCCTACCCTAATATTTTCCATATACATTTATACAAAAATATATAATCCTTCCAAAAATACAAAAAGTGCCTATTTGTCTTGTACAATTTAGCTTTGTGCACGAGTTCATCCATCTGTACCAAAGAAAAAGAGAAATAATGTCAGGTAAAATTGGACAAATAATGAAAAATGTCCATGAAAAGTTAAGGTCACATTAGCAAATTAAATTACTATCATTATCAAATTGTAAATAAAACAACAGCATTCTTATGTCTATAGCATTACCACTTTTGTATTTCATTGTTTAGTTTTTTGAACGGACTTAAATGTAATTCAAAGAAGAACAAGTCAAAAATAAGTAAATAAAACAACAGTTCACAATAATATGCAATGGACTTCTCAACTAGCAAATATAAACTATACATATTAGCATACGCGAGTGTCTAACCATACTGAAGGGGAAAATTGAAGCGGAATTCAAACGGCCGGTGTTTGCATTTTTTATCACATTGTTTAGAGGCAATTACATCTAGCTAATTAATACTTAATAGAAATCAGAGATCAGAGATCAGGCTCCCCTCCTAATTCTGAAGACTTGGGGCCAGCACTAAACAGTGTCTTTTCATTAATAGCTTTTTAATTTTGTTTGGATAAGTAATTCATTTTCGTTAACTTAAACAATGTGATAAAATGTTTGTTGTGGATCACCGAGTGGAACCTCAATTAAAAATTCATTGCATTAGTTTATGTTCTTTTTGAATTTAGTCTTACAAAGTATTGCAGAATTTGATAGCCCATTGTTTGGGTATGTTGGTGCACCTGCCTAAGCTACCACATTGTCCTTATTCATTTACTGGGTTACCTAAAAGCATATTGTATTTGAGATTTATGTATCTCCTTTAACTAGCCCACTAAAATTGTACAAAGATCATTGTAAACCCTATACTACCCCATGTGTTATATTTTAGTTTTGTAATGGTATGGAACAAAGACTGAAAATTAGTCCAATGAGTAAAAAAAAAAATTTCACCTTTGCTTTGAAATTAGATAAAAAAGGTATGGAAAGATAAGTGCTGTTCAATTTTTGACCCCAAACGGCCTATTTTCGCCTTTTTGCATCACATTTTTTTTGTCTAATTATCTAACTGTGCGTCCAAGTATGCTTCTAAATGTCATCAAAAATCAATTTGCAAAGAAAACAAAAAAGGAAAACATTAATATATTATCAATTACCAATTTAGCAAAAATGCATTTTTTACCGAAATTTGACTTTCATCTGTACTAAATCACAAAACAACAGCTAATCTAATTGGGGGCAAACTCTTGCAAGTTATATGAATAACTATGAACTTGCTAATATTGAAAACAATTAAGCAACATGATGAGTTCTACTAACTCCATTTATCTCCACAAATTTCACTATCTACCAATGGATGTCCCTTTGATACAACTTTACTATCTCACTCACTGTTTCTCCAACTTTGCTTAGAAAGAAATGAGAATACTGATATGGGTTGATTGTTTTTAATGGGTTTTCAATTTCACAAAATTTGAACTAAGATAGATCAACATAAACAATATAAAACTAAGCATGGTGTAAGTCTCACATAACACTTGGTGTAAGTCTCACTAACTCCAGTTATCTCCACAAATTTTGAACATTCACATTGGTGTAAGTCTCACATAACACTTACATGTTTATTTTTTTTTGTACATCAGAAATAAACATAACACTTATATGTATGTGTGAGGTCTGCACCCATGTTACATGTGAATGTTTTGTATATTCTTCCCCTATGGATGTAGAACTGAAGCGCAAAAATGCACGAATCGTGGTAAAGGAAAAAAAAAATCACTTTTGATTTTGACGTCTAAAAATAATATTGCCCACTTTGCAATAGAGAAGATACATGGTTTGTCAATAAAGTTACAAGCAAAAGCACCAGCACCAGCACCTCAAACTTTACAGTGTTCATATTTACACGAGCAAAAGCTCTCCAGGAGGTACATATCTCTTCACAAGTTTAGCCCAAGATTCATTGGTCTCAGTGATTACCTTAAGAGCACAATCCTTTTTATTCCAAAACAATTAATTTCACTAATTAAACAATAGAGCAATATCATATAATAGAATTCAAAACATAATCTATAAATAAATTAATTTTTTTTAAGGACAATAAAATAATAACAATATGGAAATTCCATTATTAAAGAACGACATAATCAACTCTTGTTCTTGGATTCAGTCCTTTCCAGTGGTATGACAAGTACTTCAAATTCATGAGCAAAATGAATACGTTCAATACACATAAATTTCTATGCGTTATGTACTTATGCTGCATGACATACAATTTCCTAATCAAACACCCTTCAAGATGGTTAGAACTGCATCTAAACAATGTAGATTGATTGAAGCATAGAAATCATAATACCTTGTTTGCTACCTTGTTGCCAAGACCAGATTTTTTTGCAGGTTTTCCATCAGGGATCTTGTAGTCTCTGAACCAGTCTCTGACTGCAGTGAGAGTGCCCTAGAGAAGTTACCCAGCCAGGCCCATGACAATTATGCACAACAATTAATTTACGTAAGTGCCAAATCAATTTTTAAGCAGCCTATGTCAACTTATGTTTCTATTAACCAAGGACTACCATAGTTTGCTAATAAATAGAACACCTTAGCCCTGATTACCGACATTGCAATGTAATCAGAATGATGTACATATGCACCGCTGATTACTAACATTGAAATCTAAATCACACCTTCATTCACATTGCTTGAATTTAATGGCTTTGAGTAACCAACACCGTAAAATATTGACTTTCACACCAATCATTGGTCATGCCCTTATTAAGATAATTAAAAAATAAAAAAAAGAAGAAGAAAAGGATGAAAAATGCTATATAGCTCAAATGTACTTAAGACATAGATATTGTATATAATAAAACCAGTACATTGCTAGTGCTTCTGAGACTATATTTGTCTTACAAAATTCCATACCTTCTAGTGTTCTACACATTATCACATTGCCATTATTAAAATTAACAACTAAAACATTTTGTGCAATGAGTAAGTTCGACCAACCCAACGAATGCTCATCCTAACTAATTGGTGTAGGCTTATTATTATACAAGGAGATGTTAACCAGTTATAGATCCATCCCCTGAAGGAACCAGACAAACAAAGAGCATAAGAGCAGATGATATGTCACAGATGTTACAAAAGTCTCAGCATGTATATCTATAATGAACTCTCTTTTTTTTACTAGTATTTAGAAGAAACTAAAATAAATTATTGCTTAGTTCAACAAAAACATTACTGGCAAATGCTTGTCCACGTCGTCAATATCATTAACAAGTGAAGCTCTTGGATCATCCAATGAAATTGCAACTATTTTCCAGTCAAGTTCCCCTTCATCAAGCATTGCCAAGGCAGCTAATGGCTTGACCTTCATAATCTGTCCTATCTTTCTACGAGTTTGACCAATCTCAACAACATCAACTACAATTTGAAGAAATTGGAAAATTAAATTCAGTTATTTTATTCTTTTGCTTTTGGTAGAAGAGAATGCTTAGTAAAGAGGTAAAATGAAATGAATGATCAACTAGTACCTGGATCGTTATCTCCAAGTGCCCCCTCAACTTCAGAGTTTGCAAATGATGGGTCTTCTCACATTTGTGGAAACAATCCATAATTCCAATTTATATTGTAACTGAGAAAGATAAAATAAAATGATTCAGGAGCTTAGACTTTAAGAAGCTCAAATTCCAATATAAAAATTATGGAGAAGTCATGTAAAAAGAGAATCCAGGGTTTTGTGATTAGATCAACAGTGGCAAGAAGTACCAGAGATCTAGCAAACATCAATTTGTTAAAAGAAATAAAAGGATAAACAAGTTGGCTTAAAAGTTCTCATATTAAAGTTTTAAACAATAAAATGAAAATAAATTCACTCTATAAGAGCATGCAAATGACATGAAGGTCGCTAAAGCTAGTTCATTTTTTGACACTGATTATATATCTCAGGTTTTCAAGGAAATATTCCCTAGGACCAGCTTACATAGCCTATTTATTGACCTCCTCTCCAAAATCTAAGTTGATTATTAGGATTTAGAGCAATTACCCAACTGCTAAAAAATAGTCTCAATGGAATAAAAATAGCATAATGTTTAAACCCAGCAGATTCAGTATCTATATCCACCAATTTCCACCTTCTTGATCCATTCACATTAAGAAATATTTTTTTTATGCCAAAATGGATTACAATTAAAGACCATGTACGAACGACATTACTCAACATATGTGAAGCCTATAGGCTAGGGTGCTTGCCATTTGATGAAATGCCACAAATCACCCTCAGAGAAGCAAACATCACTAGGTAAGTTTGACAGAAA